CACGCAGTGGCTAGATGGCTCTGGAATAGTGGTCAGGGTTGGCGTATGCTGTGCATTTTGCAATTACAATAACTACTGGGACCTCTTCTCCCACTTTGCATCCCCACTTCGCCAATGGTGAAACCGAGGGCAGAGCTTACATCAGACAGATGTGGGGGCTCTGGTGTCCTTCCTTCAAGTCTCAGCTGCTCGACCTCGGCGACTCTGTGAGTTTTCTCCTCTGTAAACTGGGCGTAGGAACCGTCCATATTCGTTGCTGTGAGCATCGGAGGAGTCAGCCCTTACATAGTTCGGTGTAGCTGGCACCGCGCCCTGACCTGGTGGCGGGGATGGCACGGCGATCGCTTGAACCCAAACCTGCTGCCCGGCGCGGGCAGATCCACGCCTCGGGGCTGGATTAGTCGGGCCTGCCCGTGCCCCGCCCCCGCCCCCGCCCATCCCCGCCGCGCTCCCTGGCCGCCGCCTGCGCGCCCGCCAGCAGTGCACCCGCCGCCGCCGCCGCCGCCTCCAGTCCCCGTGCCGCGCCTCACGGCGCCCGGGACCCCAGTGCGCACTGCGAGCATCCCGGCGCGCGCCAAGTCGGCGTGGGGGTCATGCGTGGCCCGTGAGCCCCCGGCCTGGGTTCATGCTAGGCAGGGCACGACGGGAGAGGGGCCACCTCGACGGTCTAAGGGTGGCAGGGGCCCGCGCTCGGCCGCCGGCGTCAATGCCGCCCAGCTTCGTCTCTGGCTCTGGTCCGAGGACTAGCGGCGATCGTCAGCAGAGCGCGCGGGATCCAGGGCGCGCGCGCGGTGAGTGAGAGCTGGTGACTCCCGGGAGGCACTCGGGACTTTGGAGGCCGGGATTGGGAGAGCCGCTGCCCCCTCTAGAGAACCGAGAGAGGCCCCCGGCGCTCTGCTCATTCCGACTCTCAGGAGCCGGGCGCGCGGAGACCCCCAAGTACCTCCGCCTGCGCCCCTGGGGCGCACGTGGTGGCAGACCCTCAGGGGGTCCCGGGCCTCGGCCAGGGCGCAGAGGGGCTCGGGTCGTAGGCTGGGTAGGGCGTTGGGCAGGTGGGGGGGGCGCGCGCCTTTGTCTGCGTCCCGGCGCGGGCTCGGGTTCCCGGCGCCCGTCGCCCTCACCTGCCAGGAGTTGGAGCTCTTTGTCTGGGGCGGGGCGCGACCGGAGGAGGTTGTGCCGCGTGTCTGGGGCGAGGCTGCCCCACAGGTCGGGTCCTCGCAGACAAAGCGCGCCTTCACCGCCCGCAGCTGGGATTGCCTATCTTTGGGGAGTGAGTGCTGGCCTTGACGCTCTTGGTACCGAACCTGTCCCTTCCACGGGGACCTCTAACCTGTACTCTGGCTGAAGTGACCCTTTCCTTCCACCCCTACACTGGCTCAGTGCCAGGGCGGGAGGATACCCGCGCTGCCTGGGTCATGTCCCAGTAGATAATCCTCGGGAAGTTATTAGCACCGGTGTAGTGGTTGCGCTGGGACTGCTCGCCCGCCTTGGGTCAGCTAGCCGGCTCCAGACCCCTTGTCCTGGAAGGAAAATCACCGAAGGACCTCGACCTGGGACATGTCCCAGCAAGGGCTGGCTTTGTACCTGTGCTGGCAAGGGGGCTGTAGCCTGGGCCCCCAGAGATCCTGGGGCCTGAGGATTCCTGTGTTTGTTGAGAGCCTTTTCCAATGGGCGCAGTTGTGCCTAGCCAGGTGTCCAGGCCCTTGCCATGTGGTGGAAGCCTGCCAGGTCCCTGCCTGTGACCCCTGTGGGGACTTGGATCCCTCAACTTCCCTGAGCAAACTTTAACTTGAGCAGTGTGGTGTGGGGACCAGATAGGGAGGGGAGAGTGGCCGGCCCACTGCCTCCTGCCTTTGCCTGGGCAGCATCCCAGGGGTCTCCAGGGTGAGGGAAGACCCTCCCTCATTGCTGCTCACCCCCTCCTCCTCTCCCCCCTCTTCTGTTCCCTTGACTTTCCCAGGGTCTGCGCGCCACCTCCTGGCTCTAGAAGCCCGTGCTCCAACCTGGGGCCTTGAAGTGAACCCGAACTGGCCTGGCTGGGCCTCCTGCTGGGCTGGGCAAGGGCACCTGCAGCCTTAACTGAACTTGCTGCTCACCCTTTCACTCCTAGTCTGGGACCTAGGACAGTTGTGCCCCACGGAAACAAACTTGTTTTCTCAGAGTGATGCCTCTGCTGTTTCCTTCCCATACTATCAGCCTTGGTGTGATGGAGATGCCCTGCTATATCGGAGGAGGGGGTTCCAGGGAGGGCTGGCACAGAGGGTGCAGCTGAGGCACCACCTGCCTTTCCCCATCCTGGTGGCCCAGCGACCACACCCCTGGAATGTAATGATAGCTTTGAGACTCAGCCCTTAGCTCATTTGTTTCACCTGCTGAGGGCATGTGATCAGGCACCCCAGGAGGTGTTGGGGACCCCTGTGGGCTGCTTGCACGGGGCCAGGCTCAGAGGGGCTGTCAGGGCCACAGGTAACAAAGACCTTCACGAGGGTATCCTCAGCAGAGGCCAGTGGCGGCCCCTGCTCCTGTTCCTCTCATCTGGGGGTGCCAAGTGCCCACTCATGCCCTCCTCCTGCTGGTGCAGGGCAGTAAGCGGAGAGGATTTAAACCTGCACCAGTGAGGGAGGCACCCTCAGACTGAGGGGGTCTGGGAATGCCTGGGGGACTCAACTGAAATTCCTGGGTCAGGGCCCAGGCAGGCCAGCTGGTCACAGTCTTGGGGGGCTGGGGAAGAAATGCACACTGCCATAGGAATGCACACTGCCATAGGAAGGCGCTGGACTGTTTTCAGTCCTGGGGTGACTTGTTCTGCTTTGGTTTTGAAAGATACTCTCGGCTGCTATATGGAGAACTAATTTGTGAGACTGTTAATGAGACCAGCTATTAATAATAATTATAGCAGCTGTATGGCCTCAAGTGTGGGTGACATCGGGACCCCCTCCTGGGGTCATGGTGAGGGTCCAGTCCTCTGAGGCTGAGGCCCTGGCGGGGGGGTCTTTGGGTAGGCCCTGGGAGTAGGAGGGTAAGTGACTTGTTGGCCTTCACAGGAGGGTACAGGGCTCCGCGGGCACCTGACCTCATGCCTGGACACGCGGTCATAGCTCCCAGCAGAGCTGGGGCCACACCTGGTGCCAAGCGAGTGGGCATGAGGTGTCTGCACCCAGGCCCTGAGGGGTGGGTGGGCAGCACTGCTGACCTCGCCATCCTGCCCCTCAGACCCCCTGCTCAGGTGGACCACTCACCCCCTGGGGTTTCCTTGAGGGATCCAGGCATTCTGACAGCTGCTGCTCACCACACAGGGTGCCTTGGGAACCCATGGGAAGAAGTCACAGTCACAGCCTCCCTGATGCCCCCAAGCCCCAGTGGGGGAGGAGCACCCTGGCCACCACCCTCCACGCTGGGGCCTCCTGGGGGGTGGGGGAGGCAGGCTGGCAGTCTCCCCTCTGGTCCAGTGCCCGTCCAGCCTGAGGCTCAGAGAGCCTGTTTCGGGTTGTTTGCCACTTGTTTTCTTTCAGATGTGGGTTTCCGGGCAGGGTTAGGAAGGTGACCCCACCCTAGCACGAGGTGTGAGGGGCACCGTGTTCATGTGAAGGTGTCACGGTTTGCTCTGCGTATTTCCATCAGCAGGTCTGGTGTGACCCTGGCCCAGGGAGCTGCTTCGAGCAGCTCCCGCCCTTTCCCTGCAGACCTGGGCTCCAGCCCACTCGGGGCCTACCTCTGCCTGGACTCTTGTATCTGTTTGTTCACCTGTCATGTCTGTTCTTGCTTTCAGTTCTTTGGACAGATGCCCACAAGTGGGATTGCTGTATCACATGGTAGTTCTGTGGTTAGTTTTCTGAGGAACCTCCATACTGCTTGCCATGGCGGCTGCACCATTTTCCATTCCCACCAGCAGTGCACAAGGCTTCCAGTTTCTCCACACCCTCACCAAGCCCAGCCGTTTTCTGTCTTTTCTGATGGTGGCCATTATGGGGTACAGGGGGGGTCTCATGCGCCTCAGTACTCAGTCACCCCACCCCTAATAGCGACCACTGGCTGCTTTCTCCCCGTGGAAGTCCAGGACGGGGCATCCACAGATACTGGGAGCAGAGTAGCAGTGCCCAGGGCTTGGGGAGATGTGAGGATTGGGGTGAAAGTGGAAGAGCATGTGGTTTCTTTTTGGGGTGCAGAAAGTCTTCTATAACAGGTTGTGGTGAGGGTTGCTCACAGCTCTATACTTTTCAGTGGGTATGTTGTATGGTGTGTGAATCACATCCCAGTAAAACTGTTTTAAAACACCACCAACTAGGGAGACAAGATCTGCTATGAACAGCCTTACGGGCCTCTGCCTGTGAACCAGAGTGAGGGCCACGTCCTCATCCTGACTGTCCTCACCAAGGTCCTGTGCACACACGGCCTCTCCCCAGGAGGGGAGAGGCTGAGCAGAGTCAGGGGGCCCACCAGAAACTGCCACATTCCTCCCTGAAGCAGGCTGGCCCCCACTCAGAGGGACCCACTCCACCCTGGACACTAGGTGCCTTACGGCGGCTGTGGTCCCCAGACCTGTGACTCAGGCTGTCTGAGGCCTGGCAGGTGGTGGCCTGCAGCCTCGGGGTGGGGGGCATTCCCACTCTGTTCCCCCCACCCCGCTGCCTCCAGTGCCAGGCCCAGGAGTGCCTTCAGGTTCCTGATGCTGGCTCTGCAGGGAGGCACCCAGATTCCCCAATCCTGGCTCCCCACCCAGCAGGGCCACTGAGCCCCCACATCCTTGCTGAGGGGTGGAACCTTGGGTCCCTGATCACAGGCCTAGTGATCTGTGTACAAGTCCACTGGACCTGGGTGTGGTCACCCTCCTGTGTGGGGGGAGTGGGCACAGAAAGACGTGTTCTGCCAGGCTGGGCAGCCCTCATGTGTACTGAGCCTGCCCAGACCTGTTCTCTGGGTGCCCGGGGCAGGGGGTAAGGGCCAGGTTCACCCCAGCCTTGTAGGTCTCTTTGACCTGACCCCTCCTCTCTTTTTTCCAGGCATCTGTGGGCTCCGAGAAACTCTTTGCCCCAGCAGCCGATAAAGGTAAGTGTGTCCCTGGACTCCAGGCCCCTAGAAAAGCACAGGACACACTCCTGAAATGAGCTGGAGGCCCCAAGTTAGCTCTGTCTTGGATTTTAGGTGCAGAGCCTGAGGCCAGAATTAGGTGTTCCCATTTACTGAGGGATGCAAACCACACCCCCAGAAACAGCCACAAGGAAACAGGGGGAGCTGAGCGGAGGACCAGTATCTCAGCCAGAGCCACACAGATCTGGAGTGGTGGTTCCCAAAGTGGGGGGGGGGATCCCCTATACCCCCGGGGACCATTAGGAATGTACTTTCCCAGGCCCTTCCCAGGTTCATGGAGTCCCATGCTCTAGGGATGGACAGCAGCTCCCGGCTCATGAAGCGTCCCCGTCAGTGTGGACTGGCCCCCATGGCCACCACCACACTTGTGGCTGTTTATTTTAACATGAGACAGACTAGACTCACTCCTCAGCCACACCTGGGCCCTAGCCAGTGAATCCCGAGTGGGACGGCACAGGTGCCTGGCATCCCATTCTCACAGAAAGCTCTTCTGGCCGGCACCATCCCATCAAGGCCAGGATAGCCCTTTGTAGCCCAGCCTGTTGGTCGTGGCTGTGGCCCAAAACGGGTGTCATTGGACCCAGCACAGAGAAGGAGTCTTTTTGCTTGGGAGGCTCCCTTAGGACATGACTACACAGGACAGGCCTTGGGGAACCCAGTGCACCACAGGTCCTGCTGGCCTGGTAGCTGGGCATGGCCTGTACATGCCTTCAGCTCAGGAATCCCTTTCCTCAAGTCAGGCGTTGCAGCAGAGCCGATGCCTGCTGAAGAGTCCGGACAAGGAGGCCCACCAGAGGCTCCTTGGAGCCAGGCATGCTCAGCGGACTTTCAGACAGAATTAACGTAGGGTGTTATCAGTTTCAACAAATGACCACAAACCATGTGGCTTGAAGCAACAGGCTCATGGTTCCGGAGACCAGAAGTCTGGAGTCAGATGTGTGCAGGGTTGTGCGCCCTCTAGAGGCTCCAGGGGAGGAGTCCCTGCTGCCTCTTCCAGGTCCTAATACTGCCTGCAAATGTGGGCATCCTCCGGCTTCTGGCTGCATCCTTGCCGTCTCTGCCTCTGTCTTCATGTGGCCCCTTCCTCCTCTTGTCTCTTCTAAGGACACTGTCACTGGATTTAGGCACTCTCAACCCCCGATTCCCAGCTGTTCTCATCTGGAGATTCTTAGCTTGATTATGGCTACTAAGACCCTTTTTCCAAATAAGGTCACAGTGCCAGGTTCTGGAGGTTATGATTCAGCGGAGTTCAGGGAACTGGGCAAGGCTTTGAGGTGTCCAGAGAGGTGCGTAGTTGGAGGGAGGTGATCAATAGCAGCACTCACGGTTTTCTCAGTGGCAGGAGGCTCTAGAGATTCCAGGACTCTCCAGCAGGGCTGGAGCATTGGGGGCAGGCCTGGGGTCACATCCAGGTCTGCATGGCCCGTGCCTGCCTCTTTCCGTTCTGATGGCTGTTCTCACTTTGGAAGAGCCTTGCGTGTGGAGAAGTGAGAGAGACAGGAGGGGAGAGGGGGCCAGCCTCCCCAGGCAGCTATGAGCACGTGGGCTGACAGCTTCCTGTCCTCCTTGCAGGAGTGGTGGCAGTGGCCTCCTCCTCAGGCCTGTTCCTAAGCAAACAGGCCCAAGGCAGGGAGGTGTCGCCCGAGCAGAGGAGACATCTCTCTGCCAGCCTGGGTTATGGGTTACACTGCCCTGCAGCCACAGGGGAGGCTGTGGCCAGCGTGTCACTCTGCATGGCTGCCATCTGCATGGGCCCCTGGGCCTGGAGGAGGAAGTGGAGTCAACAGGCCAGATGAAGCAACCACATTCAGTAACCTGAATTTCCATTCCTCCTGGAAAACTGGGATGTCATCCCCTGAAGGCAGAGCTTTTCAGATGGGTGGTGGTGCCTCCCCTGGCCTGGACACATGCTTTCCACCTGGCCCCTGGGCACGTGACCTGAGACCTCACTTGGAGCAGCTTCAAAAGGAGGGCTTGGAATGAGCAAGCGGGCTTGCTTATGGCCAAAAGGCAGGCCTGGAGCTCAGAGGGGAGCAGAGGCTATGGGTGGTGATGAGTTGAGGCAGCCACTTTCTCCCCACAGACTAGGCAAGGCTGGTCATCCAGAAAGTCTCCCCCAGGGTGAGGACCCAAAAAAGAGCTTAGGCCCTGGGTCAATCGGGTGGGATAAGAAAGAGCAGCCACTCACTCAAGTGACGCTACCGTGGTGGGAGATAGGGCGGCAGACCTTGGAGCCCAGTGCCCAGACTGAGCCGGCTTTCTCACCTTTTGAGTCTCCCTCCATAAAACAGGGCCATAAGAGCCCCTGCACTGAGATGGCCATGAGCAGGAGGTACACGACACACCTTGGTGGTTGGCCCTCCAGACAGGTAGCCTCCCTGGGGAGCAAGGGGTGGGTTATACCAAGGTGTTGTGGGCAGGGGCTCTGCTCCGCCTAGTTCCCCTTTGAAAATGATCCTGAACCCCAGACTCACCCCTGCCGCTCTCTCCGCAGGCCCCACGCTGGGCGAGAAGTCCGAGGCCAAGACCGGGGCAGCGCCCAAGGTCTCGGGTCTGGAGCGCAGCCGCGAGCTGAGCACCGAGCCGCCCTTCCTGGCCCCTGTGCGCAGCCCTGCGCCAGTCCTGCCTTCCGTCAGCACCGCGGCCAGCCCGCTGGTCAAGAAGGAAGCCCCGGCGCTGCCTCGCCTCGCCCCGCAGTTGCCACCTGCACCCTCGCAGCCCCGGGCCCCGCTCCTGACGCACGTGCCTCTCCCTCCGGGCGCCTTCCCAGGCCCCGGCCCGGCCGCGCACAACGGCCTGCACAGCCTCAGGTGGGCACAGCCTCAGGTGGGCGCGGGGCCGAGCCTGTGCGGCCTCAGGCGGGCGCGGGGCGGCGCGGAGGCGGGGCGCGCGGCCGGGCACTGAGCGCCCCTCCCTGCAGCAGGAGCAGCAGTGCCAGCAGCGGTGCCAGCCTGGGGCTCGCCAAGCACGCGTCCCTGTCGCCTCACGGGCCGGGCCCCCACCTCTCTACCTCACACTTGGCGCTCCGCTCGCAGGCCCAGCACCAGCACCACGCGGCGGCCATGTTCGCCGCGCCCCCGACACTGCCCCCGCCCCCGGCGCTGCCGGCCAACAGCCTGGTCATCCCAGGACACCCCGCCGGTAGGTCTGGGTGCCGTCGGTGGGGCCAGGGTCACTGCCTGTTCCCTCTCCACTCTGGGTTCCTCACCTCTGGGCAGGGAGGGACGTGGCCCCTGGGAAGCGGGGGCTGGCCTCGGAGAGACAGACTTCTCTCCCACCTGCTCCTCCAGACCATCAGTGCAGGGCAGAGGAAACTTCCTGCCAGGGCCTCAGTTGTGCACACACACAGATTTATGCGTGCACACACGTGTACACGGACATACACTCCCTGCTCCATTCTGAACCCTTGCCAAGCCTAGTAGGGCAGTTGGGAGCCGGGAGTTGGTATAACTTGGAGCTGCTCAGTCATCACTGCGATCAGGGCTCCCAGGGCCTGCTGTGTGTCTCTTCCCATCCCTCCGTCCCTAGGCTGCTGTGGGGGTAGGGGTGGATAGGGCTGAATTGTGGGGTAACGGGGCCCTAGATGAACTGCAGCTAGCCTGACCTCTGCCTCACTGCTTGATTCCAGCAAGTGCCCCCCTCATGGCCGAATCTTAGGTCACTAAGGATTTTTCATGGGTCTCCAATTCTTTTCTAAAAGTCTGAGCCCAGCTCAGTTGGGGGCACCTCAGTGCCCCAGGCTGGGACCAAAACAATGGTCTGGGGGAGGCTGGGATGGGCAGGGCTCCCCGACAGGGCTGTCTCGGGCTCCCAGGGTGGCTCACCGTGTTCTCTCTTGCCTTTAGATGCCAGCCTGTTGATCTCATTCAGCCAGCCAATCATGTATTGCCAGCCTCATTCGGGGATTCTGATTGGTACTTGGTCACAGGCACCTCTCTTACCTCCACCCTGGGGCCCGCACGTAGCGAGCGGCCACCACGGCTTGGCCTGCCGAAACCGGGAGTGCCAGGTGACTATCCGCCTCGCCCCGCCGGGAGCCCGCGGCCGACGTGCCTCTCTGTCTCTCTCTTTTTCTCTTGTAGATCACGAGCTGCTCAGGCAAGAGCTGAACGCGCGTTTTCTGGTCCAGAGCGCCCCCCTGGGCCCGGGAGCTCTGCTGCGGGCGGAGTTCCACCAGCACCAACACACACACCAGCACACACACCAGCACCAACACACATTCGCCCCCTTCCCTGCCGGGCCGCCCCCGACGCCGCTCCTGCCACCCGCCGCACCCCCGCCGGTGCGTAGGCTGCGTGCCGGCAGGCGGGATGGGGTGGCCCCGGGCGCGGGACACGCAGCAGGCACACGCAGACGCTCTCTGCACGCATGCAGGCTGACACTGTCCGCTCGGTCCGCCTGTCCGTCCAGCCCCTCCTTTGGTTCCCCCCACCCCCTGCTCCCAGGTCATCCCATGAAGCTCCCTGCCCTGGGCCATTCTCTTGGGCTTGGGTGAACACCCCCGTCCACATGACCGTGGGTCCAGTTGTACCCATGTCAGGTCCTCAATGTCTCAGTTGGCAGCAAGGCAGCAAGTCAGGAGGACCAGGACTAGGGGCCATGCAGATCAGGACTCTTCCCATGCTCCTGAGCCTCGAGATCTCGTCCCCAAGCCAGCTGCTGTGGGCAGAGCCCCCTCCCAGCTTTGCCTGGTCATTGGCCAGTTAGCAGTGGCCTCAGTGTACCCCTGCAGCTTAACCCCCGCCCTGGGCTCCATGCCCTCCGCTCCCAGTCATGGCTGCAGACACCCAGGTGGGCAAGTCTGTACCTCCTGTGCTGAGGTCACTAGAACGGGGAAGGGCCATGGGCCAGCACCCTCGGGGAGCCTGGAGGACAGCTGGCTGGAGGCCGCCAGCCTCATTCTGGCCGCTGCCTGGCCTGACGGTGTGGGTGGGAGCTTGGCCAATGGAGGGCATCGGCAAGGTTGGGAGGCCTCACTCTCTGCCTCCTTCCCTTCCAGTTTGACAAGTACACGCCCAAGCTGGACAGCCCCTACTTCCGACATTCCAACGTGAGTGTCCCTGCGTGCCCTGGGATCGCCAGGCAGGGTGGGGGGTGTGGAGGTCGGGCTGCGCCTTGTCCATGTAGCTTCCCACCTAGTGCAGGCGTGGCAGGGTGGGGACCAGAGGGCCAGGCCCCACGCCCCTGCCCAGGATGTCCGAGTGCCCGGCGAGGCCCCTGGAACACCCCTCCCGCCTTCTCTTGCAGTTTTTCCCGCCCTTCCCTCCGGCCGTCCCAGGACTGCCCGCCCTGCTCCCACACCCAGGCCCCTTTGGATCCCTGCAGGGTGCTTTTCAGCCCAAGGTACCAGCTGCTCCCAGGAGGGGGTGGGTATGGTGGGCAGGGGCTGCAGGACCGCCCCCCCCATCCAGCATCTCTCAGGGTAGTCATGATCCCAGGTGGCACCTGAAGGGCTTTCACCTCAGTGCAGAATATCCTGACCTTCGGGGCCAGGAGAGCCTTGCTTGACTTGTTCGCTCCTCAGCGGGGAGCACTCAGGGTTGGGGGTTGGGAGGAGCAGTACAGAGGAGCAGAGGTGGAGTGTGGACAGCAGCCGCCCAAGGCCATCCACACTGCAGGAGGCCTAGGCACCAGGGACCGGGCTTGCTCTGCTCACCTTCCCTGCAGTGGGGCTGCCTTCGCCTGGCACAGCGATCAGAGCCTTCTCCTGCCACCTTTTCAGAAACCTCTGGACGGAGGGTGTGGTGGGAAGCCAGACCATCCCGGGTGACAGCGTGCAGGGCCCCACAAGGAGGGCAAGGTGGACACCGGTGACCCGGGGGTGGGGTTTGGTGCCACCTGGGCACGGAGCCTGCAAAGTGGTCTCGTGCGGTGTCCCTCTCTCCCCTCAGACTTCAAACCCACTCGAGTTAACAGGCCGGGCCAGTGCGGTTCACACCCTCCTGCAGAAAGCCCCCGGGGTAGGTGGCAGCGGTGTTCTTGCCTCTCTCCTTCCCGGGTGGGCATCCAGCCAGCATGGCTTCACGAGGCTCACATAGTCACCCCTCCCCAACTCCTCTGGGCTTGACTGCTTGCAGAGCCTGGGTCTAACACTTCTCCTCTGTCAACAGCAGGTGTCCGACCCGTACCGGACAGCAATCAGGGTGAGTGTGTGCGTGCTTGCATGTGTAAGGTCTGTGTGTGTCTCACCTTGGGAGGAAGGGGCCCGGCGGGACCTCAGGGAGGGTCTGAGGCCAGGGAGGACTCTCTGGGGTGGCCCAGGGGTGCCCTGTGACAGCAGGGATCTGGGGGTGGGGAGTGAGGAGACGGTTCTGGCCGCGAGGCTGAGCCCATCCCCCCGTCGCAGAAGCCGGGGAAGTGGTGCGCTGTGCACGTGCAGATCGCCTGGCAGATCTACCACCATCAGCAGAAGATAAAGGTGAGCTGGACTGCTCGTCCTGCCAGCCAGGCCTGCGGTTCAGAGGGCGCCTTTCTTGGGCCAGGCCCTCCCCAGCGTCCACACGTGTGCGCATGTGCCCCTTGCCCCAGCGCTGGGCCGGGCCAGCAGGGGTCGGATCTGGGGAGCAGGACGAAAGTGTATGGGGAACTCAAAGTCACATCCCAGCTGGTCACCCAGGATGACCCAGGCAGGGTTATCCTGCTGGGCCTCCCTGCTGTCAGTCAAAGCTCTCCCAGGGAGCATTTGGCCCGGCCCCCCCCTTTCCCCCAAGTGTTTATTAAGTGTCTGCTGTGGGCCACGGACAAAGTTGAACATAAGTGCTCATGGAGCCTGCATGCTCCTGGGGGGGACAGGTGGTGAAGAGGAACCCAGCTTGAGGCCGTCCTCCCGCAGTGGGGGATGACAGATGCCCTGGCTGAGCGATACAGGGAAGAGGTGGCCCTGGGAAGCCTGGGGACTTGCAGCCAGGGAGAGTGGGCTGGGGTGCTGAGGGAGGCCAGGATGGGATCCCGCACCCTGTATCACAGAAGGGTCTCCACACTTTTGTCTGTCATCTCAGGTAACACGTTACCCTTACTCAAGGTATTTTTAAATCATCACGCTGTAAGTGGGTTACAAAGGACAAGTCACAGAAAGGGATTTATGACGGATTAACATGCAGACACTCAGGCAGCGTGCCTGGAAGGTGCAGTGGAGGAGGCAGGGTGGGGGTACCCCTCTGTTGTCACCACAGCAGGAAGAACTGGGACGGACTTGGCCCGCCCCATGCCTCCTGTGGCCCTAGTGACCCAGGGACTGGCATCTTAGTTTTATTTAATACATTTAAATTTTAATACTCATGGTAAATTTAGCCATTGGAAAACTGGAAAGACTCGGGTATGCGCATGTACTTTTCCAACTCAACTTTACAAAATCTAAACAGTATTTCTAATGAAAATGTAGCATCCAAATTGAGGTGAGTTTTAAGTGTAAAACACCAGCTTTCAAAGACCATATAAACAGGAGCGAAACGCCGCAATCGGGAACCTCCTGTATCGACCACACGTGACGACGTTTCGGTTTCTCTGCATCGCTGACACGTGGTCAGGATGGCTCTTACCTGTCTCTCTGCCCACTGAGCGAGGCCAGCGGAGCTGGGGGCATCACACCTTGTTGTCCAGCTCATCGGCAGCCTGGTGGCGAGCAGGACAGAGGCCCGGCCTCCGGCCCCTATACACGCTCTGTCCCGGCAGATGCAGCTGGAGCCCCACAAGCTGGACGTGGGCACCAAGCTGGACTTGTTCAGCAGACCCCCCGCCCCGGGCGTGTTCGCCGGACTCCACTGCCCGCAGGACCTGACCCGGCCCCTCTTCTCCAGCTCGGGTAAGGCGGCCTGGCCCGAGGGGCTGGCAGCCCGGCCACCGTGCAGTCCCAGGGGTGGCCTGGCAGCCGCGCTCTTGCCTTTCTCCTCTGGCTTGTGTGGGCAGCGCTTTTGTTTCTCCAGCTGTAGCAGGTGGGGTCTGGCAGTCCTGCCTGCCTCAGGCTTCTCCCTCCACACCCCCAGAGGTGTCCCCACCGCTGATCTGACCCCGCCCATGCTCTGGCCCAGGACACCCTCTTCTCTGGGGCTTCCCTCCCAGGAAGGGTTCGGCTGTTGTCCAAATGGTGGGAAACTGCTCCAGAGCCTCTGTTCCGTGCTCACCTCCGCCAGCAGCCACACCACAACCTCACTGTGTCGGGGTCCCTAGGACCATCGCTGGGCTTGCAGCGCCCCCGGGACTCAGCCCACGTCTCACACCCCACCAGCTATATGCATTGTAGCCAAGGGACCTGCATCTGTCAGCAAGGAATGGGGGGGAGGGTGGAAGTGGGTGTCTCCTGAGCACTGCCCGAGGAGCCCCAGGATGCACTTTATTCCCCAGAAAGGAGCCCTGACAACAGGGTGAGAGGCTGTCTCCCAGGGAAGCTTGTGGGGACCCAGCGTCCTGGCTTCTTACTGGGCACCTGTGTGTGCCTGGACCAAAACCCAGACTCCCGAAAGGAAAGTGGGTGCTCAGCACAAACGACACTGCACAATCTGAGCACATGTGAGTGAGGCATTCCTATCAGAGGAAGGTGAGAAACCTCATGAAACCTGAATTCCCAGACGCCGGCCCAGGGCAGCCGTGCAGCAGGCCTCAGGGTGATGGTCTGGAGGCCACAGGGCAGCTGCTGCTTCCTCCCCAGCCATCAGGCCCTTGAAGGATGTCACCTCCTCAGAGAACCTTCCCTGACCACTCCTCACATCCACTGTGTTCACACTCTGGCGCAAGCTCATGCTCGCTTCCTGTCATGTCAGTCCCTGCAGACAGCCTGTTAGCGCACCGGTGTGATGGGGTCATGCTGGCTGGCCTGTGAGCTGGGCGGCTCTTCCCAGCCCCCACTCCACCACCCTCATGACCTCCAGTCCCCAGTCAGGGCAGAGACGTCTCCCCGGTGTCAGGGTCCCTCAGAAAGCAGAAAGCCTCCCATCTGGGCCTCAGCCCTGGCGGCCAGCAGACTTCTTAGGCCATAGCCTACAGACTGTGGCCTGGGCCCCTCTGTGCTTCCCTCCACCCATGGCCTTGTCCTGCTGTGTGCCCACTTCCTGCAGCATATGTCCCACACAGACCAGGGCCCTGCTGTACCTGCGTGACGCCTGGCTCCCCCCCCCCCCCCCCCCCCCCCGCCGCAATCTGGCGTGTGTGTTTCTTCCATCCTCTTCCCCAGGGAGTATCGGCTTGTTGGCCTTTCCTCAGGGTGTAGCTTTTTAAGGCAGCACGTTTCCCTGACTGCCCTCCACATGCTCTCATAGAATCCTCTTCAGCACTGGACCAGCTGTTTCCTAACTTGTGGTTTGATTTCTTCATAAGGTCACTTAGAAATGAGATCACGTTTCTAGGTGGAAGCTCTCTAGGAACTAATCCTGCATTTGTCTGGGTGGAAGAGCCCGCCTGTGACGCCCACGGCAGGCAGGCAGGAGCACTCCATTGTTGGGGTCCCCACAGGTGGAAGGAGCTGGAGAGACAGGAGAGGGCACCCCTCTCACAGGTCTCACCAGAAATTCACCTCTAGACAGAAGGTGGGACACCCTAAGTGGCAGTCAGCCCTTGACCCAGCAGCCCCTTCTCGGGACTGGGCCCTCCAGATTGGGTTCTGAGGGGCGTCTGGAGAGTGGGGCTGACACCGCACCGATGCTTGTGGGCTGTGGCCTGTAGCCAGGGGACACCACCGGAGGGGCTGCTGTCTTCGGGCCGTGGTCCATCTGCACCAGGCCGCACTCACTGTCACAACCAGGATTGTTAGCTCTGGTTGGGCCCTCAGAGGGTAGCTGGCTGCGGGAGCAGCGCCTCACGGCTCAGCCTCAGGCCCTTCTCTGCCGTGTTTCCTCTGAGGCCTTCACTGCCATCAGCACCTCCCTCCCTGCTCCCCTGTGTGCTGGTCCTCCGGACTCAGGGAGATGAGAGCCTACCTCCCAGCTGGTCCTGAGCTTGAAAGGGGAGGTGGAGCACCAGGGTGCAGCCGCCCTGCGAAGGAGGCAGAGATGGGGCCCCGGGTGCACCCAGGCCTCCAACAGCCTTCCCCCTCTGCAGGTGCCACCCATCCCGCCTCCAACCCGTTCGGACCCTCAGCGCATCCTGGCAGCTTCCTGCCCACTGGTCACTTGACAGGTAGGTGTCCCCTGAGGTCTGTGCAGTCTGGCTGGCCTGTGCTGACCCCCAAGAACCAGGGCACCCTCGGATTGTGCAGGTGGTAACCTGCCAGGTTTTGGAGCCCCGGGGTGGGGGAGGTCCTGGTGCACACAGAAATCTCTGAGTGCTTGTTGTCCCTACAGACCCTTTCAGCAGATCAAGCACCTTTGGGGGCCTGGGGAGCCTGGGCAGCAACGCCTTCGGAGGCCTCGGCAGCCACGCGCTGAGTGAGTGACCCTGCCACCTGCTCTCCCCTCACGCGGGCATGGGCGTTCATCAGGGCTACAATGACACCGGGTGGACTGTCACCCCTTGTCTCCTCGGGGCACACGCAGGCCTAGGGTTGGGCATCTCCCTGTGTGTGCTCCCTCCTACCACCCTGGCCTCACCCTCTGCCACCACCCCCACTCCAGCTCCCGGCGGCGGTGGCATCTTTGCCCCCAAGGAGGGCCCCACGCTACATGGCCTGCCCAGCCCCCACGAGGCCTGGAACCGGCTGCACCGAGCACCACCCTCCTTCCCCACGCCACCCCCATGGCCCAAGCCTGTAGACGCCGAGCGGGTCTCAGCCCTGACCAACCACGACCGAGAGCTGGACAAGGGCAAGGAGGAGCGGGACCGGTGAGTAGGGGCCCCTCCACTTGCCTGTTCTGCCAGCTCCCTGCCCCCTCCACTTTGTCTGGCCCCCACCCCCACCCAGCACCTGCAGCCCCCAGCCACCTCTGCTGAACCCAAGGGCGCAAACTGAAATCTTCTGTGGGAGGACACAAAGACTGCAGAAAGACCGGGGGAAGGGGACCCCCGAGTCCACACACTCCCACCTTATTCCCACAGAAGACTTGCTGGGGCACGGTCTGGGCAGGTACCATCCAGGATGAGGGTTACTTCTTCCAAGGCCCTGGCAGGGATAGTGGGCTTCTGCACCACAGTGGGGTCTGGAGGTGGGCTGCTGAACCACCAGGGGGTGCCAGGTCTGGGAGGTACACCTGTGGGGAGCTCCCTGGGCTGGAGGATGGGAGCTGAGGTTGTGTTCCCACCCCTCACCCCACGGGCAGCAGAGCTAGGCCAGGGCAGGGCAGAAGGGAGCCTGCATTAACAGGCGAGTGTCAGAGTCCGGGATTTGAGTCATGGGCCAGCATGCAGACAGGAGCAGGGGAAGGCCCCCTGGCCAGCCCTTCCGGCCAGGTCCGGGCATTGCTGCAAGCTAGGTATTGGGCAGAGCCTGAGAGCACAGTGAGGGAGGGGGTGGCCTAGAAGACGACAGGGACATTTGTCACAGGCCCCAGGAAGGGTGCTGGGGAGCAGCCCAGGGAACTGCAGCCCCCCGTGGGGACATCAGGGTCAAGAGGGTGGGCTGCAAGTACAGTAAGAGTGGCCAGGTGCAGCAGTGAAGGTTGGAAGGGGACCTGGGCACCTGATGCACTTAAGCTCAGCTGCCATCCCAGCCCCTCATCAGGGTGGAGGCCATGCCCACCTTGCTCCCAGTCTCAGGGCCAAAGGGCTAAAACGTAGAGTGGCGCCTCATGAGTGAGAACCAGACTGGGATGGGGCAGGCGGCACTCTGTGAGACCCAGCCAGGCCACAGACACCCACCAGAAGAGGGTTTCAGAGCCCCGTCCCTCTAGAGGATCAGTGGGTCTGAGGGGGCATGGAGCCCGCCCCCCCGCACTGAAGGGCTTCTCCTGGCTCAGTGGCCTGGGTTCCGGTGGAGAAGTCTGTGCTTCTGCTGCAAAGCTGGGCTCCAAAGTTGCCTGTGGGCGGGGAGGCAGGTATGGGGGTGCACTTGGGGGTGTGTGGGCTATGATCACCATGTGTGTGTTGATGGGTGCCACTAGCAGTAATCACAAGGAACCTAGGCTGCTAAGTGGACACACCCACACACAAGGAGCCTGAGGTCGCTGCAGTGACAGTGCCAGTGCCGTGTTGAGGGTGGGACCTTGGTGGCAGAGGAGCTCGCTGCAGAGTGTCGCGTCGGGCTGAGCGGGGGTGTCTGTATTGTCACTCTCAGGGACCTCCTGGAAAAGACACGCCTGCTGAGCCGGGCCTCTCCGGCGGCGCCCGTGGGCCACCCAGGCAGTGGCCTCCTGCTCCGGGGCCAGGGCGATCCGGGCCGGCCCGGGATCCCCACCGAACGCGAGGCTGAGCTCCGCATCAAGGAGAGCCGCTCCCCGGCCAGGGAGGACGGCCCCAAGCCCAGCAAGATGGCCCTGGGGGAAGGCCTGCGCCTGGCTGGTCTCCTGGGCCGTGAGCCCGGGAAGCCGCACGAGGCGCCAGCCGAGCGGTCCCAGAGCGACGTGAAGGTCAAGGAGGAGCGCGGGGAGGACGGCGATGCGCCCCCACAGCCCGGCCCGGGCCCCGCGGGCCGCGAGCGCCCAGCCTTCGTGTGGGAGCCGCCGCGCGACGCCTACCGCGGCCCGGAGCTGCCCCGCCGCGCCCCGCCAGGCCCGGGCCCTGCCGCCCTCCTCGAGCCGCCCGAGCGCCCCTACCGGGACCGCGAACCACACGACTACAGCCCGGAGCGCCTGCGGGAGGCGCGCCGCGACGAGCTGGAGCGCGCCCGGGCCGCGCACCTGGACGGCGCGGCGCTGCTGCCGGCGCTGGGCGCCCTGCACTACCCGCGCCTCGCGCCCGCCGCCGCCGCGCTGCACAACAGTATCCTGGCGCGGACCCCGCCCGCCGCCTCCGCTGCCGCGCTCGGCGCTCCGCCTCCGCTGGTGGCCGCAGGCGGGGCCCCCACGCCCCCCGGGCAGCCGCGGAGCAGGACTACGCCGCTGGGGGCCCGCGCGCCGGGCGAGGCCCGCGACTACTCCCCTTCCCGCAACCCCCAGGAGGTGGAGGCGCGGTAGTGGCCGCGGGGCCGCTCCCGCCAGGAACGCACTGCTGTCCACTTTTCTAAACCTCCGTTTCTAGAAGTTAAGCACAGTTCCATCGGCCCTGGGGTGGCGACGCTCACTTTTCCACTCGCAGCGTCGGGGGTGTCACACACAGCTTTTCTGGGGGTGATCTTTTGTTTTCCGAGCTTGAGATTAGGCTTCTGGAAAAAAAAAAAATTCAAGTTTGTACCTTTTTCCCACAGGTGAGAAGCATTTTTAATAGATTTGTATTTTTTTCAACTTTGTGCTCTTTAGACACTTAAGAGAAACGAAAGACACTTTTGCTTTTTTACTTTTAGTTTGGTTTTGCAATTTAATGGCCTCAGATCCGTCTCCAGAACCCCTGGGGTTTTTTTGTCTTATTTATGGAGAAAAAAAAACGGTCATTTTGTCCAATGCACTGTGAGGCCCCCACTCAGGCCCGGCCCTGGCCCTCCCTTGGTACTTGGAACCGAAGTTACAGATATATATTAAGATAATAATGTACAAAGCTTTTTTTGCCTTATTATGCAGAAGTGTAAAAGGGTTTCTTTTTCGGTTTGTTTTTTTAAAAAGAAAAATTAAACTGTAAATAGTCTGTTAATATAAATATATGATGTTATTAAATTCTTAACCTAGGTAGACTTTATAAAAACAGTTTCTAGAAATTTCTCTGGTTATTTGTTTAAGGTGGTCACAACAACCCACCCGCTGTCAGTTGGAACTGCCCTCAGACGTTTAATGGCAGCAACATCCTTCAACTATGCAAGCGCTTGAGCGGCCAGGCCGCTGGGGGACCGCAGAGCGGCCCTGGGACGTGCGTGCACCTCGGGCTGGCTATGCGGTGGCCTGGGGATCCACCCTAGATGAGTAGGGATTGGGAGGTAAAGAGGCTCAAGGCTGATCACAAAAGAAATAACCCGTGTTTCTTCTCCACGGAGGCCGTCAGAAGACATTGGTCTCATGTTCTCCCACCTGCCAAGGCTTTGGCATGATTTCCTTTCAGTTTCAGTCTTACTTTCATAACCCCGTGAATGTCACCGTGCCCTGTCGTCAGTATCCCTTCTTTCCTGACGTCCACACCTGTGTCCTGAGCCTTGGTTTGGCCATCCTTGGCTGTTTGCTTTATTCCGTTCTGTAGTTTCAACCCCGTGTTTTCACGGTAGAACCCGGTTATTTTAAACGATCTGTTCTCACATCAACCAATGAAGGTAAATACAGCCTTGATTTTGGATGAAAAGGTGGTTGAGTGTTTTGTGGGGCTTTGTGGCAGGTGGGGGTAATGTACCCGCCCCCAGTTACTTCCCCCAACCCCTGGCTCCCACCCTCCAGGTCTGCCCTGCCTCCCCTGGGCTCGCTCCCCAAAGCAGTTCCCGCTGCCAGGGCTCCTCCCTCTGACCTTTGCTGGCATCTCCATCTTGCCTTCAGCTGCTTTGGTCCCACAGTCCCCACCCTCTCACCTGCCACATCACCCCAGCCCCGAACTTGTCCTCTGGGTGGTTTTTCTCTGTGCGCTGGGGTCAGGGTGCACGTCCTCGGAAGGGCTGGCCTCGCCCCCTGCTCCCCTAGCAGGTGACCATTGTTGGAGAGGGGAGATCTCAGCAAGGAGGGGCGCGGGGGCAGAGCTGCTGCCCTGACCTGCTGGAGGACACAGGTGTGGGGGTGCCCGCCCTGCAGTGGGGCTTGTGCAGCTGCTTGTGCTCAGCACTGGGCCTGTACCCCTACCCTGGCATGGTTTGGAAATGGGGCCCTGGCATTGCCCCCCAATTGGATTGGCTTTCTAGGGTGAGGAGCCTGGCTCAGAACTTCCTGGAGCCTAAACCCATTGGAGTCCCCATGGAGAGCAGGGGGGGGGGGGCGTGCCCTTCATCCCCAGGGAGACGCTCCTGGCTACTTGCGGCCAGAGCACCCTCCAGGGCCTTCTCCACAGGAGTTTGGTTCCCAGGGACCAGCCCCAGCTGGCCATAGTGCCTTCCTCCTGCATGGCTTGGTTTTCCTTTGTCTCGTTGGTAGCCTCCACAGCAGAGTGTCAGGAGCACCTGTCACCGTGCTCTGCTGATGGACTGTGGGAGGCTGGTGACCACACTCACCCTGGGCTGCTCCACCCGGTCACCCAGGCCACGCCCCACAGCGCTTGCAGGGTCCCCGTGGAGCAGACCCTGAGAAGCAGCGGCCCAGCCAGCTCGGCACCCAGGGCCCTGGGGCCCCAGGCGTAGGTGTAGTTGGAGGATGGATGCCATTTAGGGCCTGCCCTTGACCGAAACCACTTGGGAGTTCAGGGATATCACAGGAAGGGATTAAATGTTTGAGTTAAAGCCAAATGACACAGTCTGCATTGAACCACAGGGACACGGGGAGGAGGCCTGTGCTTCTTGCCTGGTTTCAGAGGAGGGCCCCTGGCAGCACGTCACCTGCAGGGTAGGGTTGGTGTCTGCCCTGGGGCAGGCCATCTCTAAGGGACCTTGTTTTCAAGGGATCACGTTCTCTAACGGAATGTCTTCCCAAAGGGCGTGATTTTTCATGGAACAAAATCACCAGTGGAATTCTGCCCGCTGGGGGGAAACATACCCTCCATACCGGCATGCTTCTGAACAACTGTAACCTACGATAGTGGTCCATAGGGACCGTGGTCTGTCAGGCAGCACCAGCCTCCATGAACCCACAGTCCACACTGCAGCGCCATCTCCAGGAAAGGTCTGTGAAGTTAAATGATTGTCAAATAAAATGTTTCAATAAAAGCATTAAAAGATAGAATTTGTAAAATCGCCTAGAAAGTTAAAAAGACAGTGAGTTGAAATGTGAGAAAAGCTGAACAACCTTCCAGGATGTCCAGCCTCCAACTAATAGAATTTGGGGGAGAATAAAAGCTAAGTGGAGTGGGACATTTTAAAGTAGTGATTTTACAACATCCCCGTCAAATACCAGCCAAAAAGACATTTCAGACACGCAAAGATTCAGACATATATTAATTCACTGCATCTTTTCTTTCGGAGCTGCTGGAGGACATACTGCCGTAAAATAAGGGTGTAAACCAAGAGAAACGGGGTGCCCAGGAGGACGCCCTTAGGACCCAGGAAAGAGGCCTCTAGGGAGGCTGTTGCCACCATTCTTGCAGGTTTTCTCCATGTGAACTTTAGAGTTAGCTTATCAAATTCTGCTAGTTTGTCCTCTGGCCATTATGTTGGGATAGCATTGGATTTATAGATAAATTTGGGAGGAACTGACACCTTTCCAATGTTGATCCTTCCTGGTCCATCACAGAACTCTCACTAATGTATTTGTTTCCTTTTCTCTTGGTAAAGGTTTTAATTCCCTTCAGCTGTCTCACAGCTTATATGTATTCCTAGGTGTCTTATGCTTTCACTGGGCTTCCCTGGTAGCTCAGTTGGTAAAGAATCCACCTACAATGCAAGAGACCCCAGTTTGATTCTTGGGTCGGGAAGATCTGCTGGAGAAGGGATAGGCTATGCACTCCGGTATTCTTGGGCTCCCCCTTGTGGCTCAGCTGGTAAAGAATCCACCTGCAGTGCAGGATACCTGGGTTCAATCCCTGGCTTGGGAAGATCCCCCTGGAGAAGGGAAAGGCTACCCACTCCTGTATTCTGGCCTGGAGAATTCCATGGACTGTCCATGGGGTCACAGAGTCAGACATGATTGAACAACTTTCACTTCACTTCACTTATGCTTTCAGTAAAGCTGTGTGTCCTCGTTGTCTGTGACAGCTGTGCAGAGAGCTCCTGGTCTGCTTATCTGTTGTGTATCTGAGCCCTTCCTGTGGCCTCAGTGCTGGTTACCAAGGGTAACCAGGCGGGAGGACTGTACCACAGGCCTTTTGTGGTGCGTGGGGCTGGGGGACTCACCCTGGTCAGTGGTCATCCGTGGAAGGGCCATACACTGCTTCTGAGCAGGGGGCCATCTGATTGCTGGTCTGGCACCCCCAGGGCCTCAGAACTAGGACTGCTCCCAAGGGGGCTGCTCTGTGGGCCTGGCTCTTGGTGCAGGGGCACAGACCAGAGCCCTGAGACCTGCGGCTATCGCCAAAGCAGCACAGCCTGACCTCTCCGGGCTAAGGGGCCAGCCGAATCCTCCTACTGGTTCCGGTAGTCCTTCTGTTGATTCTCTTAGTCTCCAGGTAGACTGGGAGGTCAACTCCAAGAAGGAACAGTCTGGCTGTCCTTCAGCATCTTCTCACTGACCCCTTGGGCGGCCCCTGAGCTGGGACTCCCCAGAGGATGCCCACTGTTCCAGCATGATACATGCCGTACAAATACAGCGGGGACTTTGATGTTCGGTTGCCAGGTTTTCATCTTGGTTAGCTCACTTTTTAATTTTTAAATGAGACACAGGTCTAATTATCTATCAGTTGACCGTGTGGATTTTCTCCTTGAGTCTGCTCATGTCACACATCACACAAGCAGCTGTCCCAACACTGAACGACCTTTGTGCTGACTTGCTTGAGTTCTTGTGAAAAGGCCAAGTGTGACCACGTGAACCCATGCTCTCCTGCATGACCATCACTGCCTTGAGTCAGGCACTCTTGGTTGTTGTTTTTTTTTTCTTTTTCAATATACAATTTTAATTCATTATATTGATAATTTCTTTTTTAATTGCAATGGGTCTCCTTTGCAGCTCCAGTTGCGGCGAGCGGGAGCTACTCTCTGGTTCTGCTCTACGGGCTGCTCCTTGTGGTGGCCCCTCGTTGCAGAGCACAGGCTCTAGGCTCTTGGGCTTCAATCAGTACTTGTGACACGTGGGTTGTAGAGCACAGGCTCAGTAGTTGTGGTACTGGGGCTTAGTTACTCCGCACATGTGGGGTCTTCCTAGACCAGGGATCGAGCCCGTCTGCCCTGCATTGGCAGGCGGATTCTTAGCCACTGCACCACCGGGGCAGTCCAGGCACTCTTAGTTTTAAAATGATTTTGTAAGTTGCACCCTTGACCACTTTTAATCCAATGGCTCTTTGGTGACCAAATTTTATTCTACTTCCCTGAGTCCTGAAGGGGGAAAGTTGAGACGTAGTTTCCTGTGCTTCTGTGGCTATTTAACATGTTGCCTGGCAACCTTGCTAACGTCTTTCTGAGGATGTCCTGTTTGTCTGTGACCACATCTGTCCCACCAGGAGGTCCCGGCAAGCCTGCTCCCGGCCAGAACACTGACCCTTTCTGATCTTCAGCATTAATCTGTGGTTTTAGAGACAATTTAGGCAATTTTTATCTTTGTGAGGGCTTCCTTAGTGGCTCAGATGGTAAAGAATCTGCCTGCAATGCAGGAGACCTGGGTTCGATCCCTGGGTTGGGAAGATCCTCTGGAGAAGGAAATGGCAACCCACTCCAGTATTCTTGCCTGGAAAATTCCATGGACAGAGAATTCCATGGAGGGCTCTAATCCATGGGGTTGCAAAGAGTAGGACACGACTGAGCGACTAACATTTCATTTTATCTTCCTAGGAATGGATCTGCTCTCTGAGGAACATAGGCACCTCAGTGTGGAGTCCACACCACACACTTCTTACCTTCTTTCAAACTGTCTTTCCTCTGAGACTCTGTTACCTTTCACATTCCTCAGGCTCACTGGTGTTTCCCCTTTTGTCTATCAGACTCTCAGAGTTTTGTCTATTTTATTATATTTTGCAAAATCCAAACCTCTGGGTCTTCTCCCCCTCCCATACCCTTCACCCCACCCCCTGGGATGTATCATTCCCCTCCCCCACCCGCTCCCCAGCAAACCTCCCACAGGACTGCAGGCTCTAATTGCCACATTCATCACTCAGGGTATAAATACCACAAAGCACCTGCTTTCTCTCCACCATGTCATTGAAGCCACAAAGTACTTCCAGGGGTGTGGTTGCCCCCAAGTCTCGGAACCTCAGAGATTAACCGCCTAGAGATGATCTAAAAACCCTACCCTGGGTAACTAACACCTTTTGTTATTTCTTATCAGAGTTTGTGGGGAGACCACATGGAGTAAGTCTGTCCAGTGATGGCCACCAACCTCCCCTGCGCGTGTCCCCGTTACATGCAGCAGGAGTCAGGGCACCCCTCCCCCGACCATCTCCCCCATCGTGGCTCCACATCCTGGAGAATTAGTTTGTTCTGGGGACCCGCGCAGCTTTAAATCAGAGCTGCTTAGTGCAGAAAGAGGTTGTGCTGTGCCGTGACCACCAGGCGGATCCCATACCGAGGGGGCGCCTTCGTCCCTCACACTTTTTCAAAGAGATGGCGCCGGCAACGGTTCACAGGCAGGGGAGCCTGGGGCTTGGCCCTTCTTGATGCTGGAAGCCTGCAAAAATGTCAGGAGTTTGAGGGGCCAGTTTCCATTTAGGAAGATAAGTGGAGATGGTGGTGGGATGGTCTTTCAATGTGAATGTACTTAAGGCCCCTGAGCTGTGCACTTAAAATGGCTAAGAAGGAAATTTTTATGTCAAGTGTATTTTACCATAATTTTTAAAAAGTTGTATTCCATGACTATAGAATAAAAAGTTTGGGGAGGATTTCCCTGGTGGTCCAGTGGTAAAGAATCCATCTGTCAATGCAAGAGATATGGGTTTGATCCCTGGTCCAGGGAGATTCCACATGCCACGGAGCCGCTAAGCCTGGGAGCCCGCAGCTACTGAGAACGAGCTCTAGAGCCTGTGCTCCACAAGAGAAGCCTGTGCACCGCAGCTAGAGATTAACCCCTACTCGCTGCAACTAGAGGAAAGCCCGCAGGCAGCAACCAAGACACGGCAGAGCCAAAAATAAATACAATTAAACAAACGAAAGAACTGTGGGCTCACACACACAAAAAAACGTTTTGAGGGAAAGAAGCCAGGAAAGCTGTAGCCCCACTCCCCCATACCGCAGGCGGGCACATTTTGCATATGAACTCTGGGGGGCGATGACGCCTCAGGGGGAGGCATGCTGTTCTCACTTCTCAGAGGAGGTCATCCTGTCCTGCCCGTGACGTAGGAGCCCTTCGGTGATTTGCTTTGAACAAAGAATCACCCGAGTTCCTTCTGCAGGGAGGTGTCCAAGCTGTGTCCTACCCACCCCAGCAAAGTCCCGTTTGTCATCCAGCTGTCGGGCCTCAGACAGGGCTGTGAGCAGGGCCACCACCAGCGAGTGACGCCTTTGTGGAAGGGGGCCCTTGGATCACCTGTCACCAACTCCCCTGCAGATCCCCTCCTCCCCTCTGCCCAGCCCTGGACCAGAGGTGCATCCCCGGGTCCCTCCTCCCAGGAGTTCTCTGTCACCAAACCTGGCCACCAGGATGGTGAGGAGGCCAGCGGGGGTGGGGGCCTTCAAGGGAACAGACAGGAGGAATCCCACGTGGTTGCTCCTTTCCCTCTCCTCTCCCCAGGGCCTTGGGCCTGGCAGCTCTTTCCTCCCATCTAACATGTTTCCAGAATGTCTCGGAGGGTGTTGTGGGCTGAATTTTGTCCCCCCACATCCAGATGGTCCGTCTAGTCAAAGCTATGGTTTTTCCAGTGGTCATGTATGGATATGAGAGTTGGACTATAAAGAAAGCTGAGCCCAGAAGAATTGATGCTTTTGAACTGTGGTGTTGGGAAAGACTCTTGAGAGTCCCTTGGACTGCAAGAAGATCCAACCAGTCCATCCTAAAGGAAATCAGTCCTGAATATGCATTGGAAGGACTGATGCCGAAGCTGAAACTCCAATATTTTGGCCACCTGATGTGAAGAACTGACTCATTTGAAAAGACCCTGATGCTGGGAAAGATTGAGGGCAGGAGGAGAAGGGGGCAACAGAGGATGAGATGGTTGGATGACATCACCGACTCGATGGACATGAGTTTGAGTAAACTCCCCGAGTTGGTGATGGACAGGGAGGCCTGGCATGCTGCAGTCCGTGGGGTCGCAAAGAGTCTGACACGACGGATCGACTGAACTGAACTGAAATCCAGATATTGAAGCCCTGACCCCCAGGGCCTCAGGATTTGAGTATGTGAAGAGGGAACCTTTAAAGGGGTGACTGAGTTCAAATGAGGTCATAGGGTGGGGCTAATCCCACAGTTCTGGTGTCCTTATAAGAGATGAGGACACAGACATGGAATGACCGCGTGGGGACCTGAGGAGGAGAGAGTGTCCACGCCCCCCACCCCAATCCCAGGCTCTGTCAGCCATGCGGGGGCCGATGAGGCTCCGGACACCACGTTCTCCACATTCACCGAGAAGCACCGGCCTCGAGGGGTCCCGGCTTTCCTGGAGGCGGAGGAACCAGGTCGCCGCCGTTTCCTGGGGAACAGCGGCCAGATCGAGGCCGCACTGGGAGGTTCTCAGGTCCCGGGGACCCCGGAGTAGCCGCCAGGAATCTCCTCGCACGCAGGTCCTCCCCCCGCGTTAACCTGAACGAGGCAGTGGGCAAACTGCTGTTTTCCCGATGAAAAGGGAAAATGTCAGGGTCTGTCCGCACCCCCGGAGGAGCAAGCACCTGGAGGCTGCCGGGGAGCCTGGCCGACTGGCGGCCCACAGCGCCCCCTGGCGGCCCCGGGTGGTGCCGGCGCAGTTATATCAACCTTCCTCCGAACCTTCCTTCCGCTGGCGAGGCGCAGACAGCGGCTGCTGTGGGTGCATCAGAGAGATAAACAGGCAAAATGTCCGGATGCCCGGGAGGTCCCGACGCCCGAGGAGACAAGGAGGGGCTGGAACTAGCGTGGCCGGGATACCGCTGAGAACCGGGTGTCTGAGTACAGGGAGTAGGGGGCTCCGCGAGGCTCTGGGGCGGGGAGACCGACCCCAGAAGAGCGGACCGAGGGGGTGGGTGGGGCAGGACCTGGGGACAGTTCACCCCACCCCGCTCCCTGGGCAGTGGGGAGGACCCTGGCCACAGCAAAGCTCTGACCTCTACTCCTAGTGTCTCAAGAACATTCTGAGCTAAGGCGAGGGATCCTTCTGGTTTTGTTGTTTTTATTTTTACCCACGTGGCTTGTAGGATCTTAGTTCCCCAATCAGGGATTGAACCAGTGTCTCCTGCAGTGAAAGTAAAGTCCTAACCACTGGAGCACTTGGGAAGCCCCAGCTTTGTTCTTAAAGAATGAACTGCAGTCACTCTGGGATCCACTTCCTGCCCCCTGGGTTGGCCAGGACCAAGAAGACAGATGGTAGCAGGCGTTGTCCAGGGTGTGGACAGTTTGGAGGCCTCGCACAGGCTCTGGGAGTGTGAAAAGGCGCAGGTGTGCGGGAAAGTCATCTGGCAGTTTCCTAAAAGGTGAAACATAGAGTAATCCTCAGAGCCAGCATGCCACTCCTGATTCACGCCCAGTGGATTAAAAACCCCTGTCCACAGAGAACATGCATAGGAATGTGCGCAGTAGCTTTACTCGTAGTAAAAGTGGAAACAATTCAGATGTCCACCCACCGATGCTGGACAAACAACATATACAAACTCAAGTGGAAAAAAGGGTACAAAGTCCTGCCACAATGTGGATGAGCTTTGAGAGCATCACGCCAGTGAAGGAAGCCACTGTGGCCACGGATTGGGCGAGTTTGTCTACTCGGAGTATCCAGAGCAGGCAAATTCGCAGAGACAGAAAGTGGACTAGTGGTGGCCTGGGAAGTGGGGAGCGAGGGGTGTGGCGAGGAAGGGAAGAGGGAGGGGGGAGGAGGGAGACGGGAGGGGGAGGGACGAGGGAGGAGGAGGAAGGGGTGGGAAGAGGAGAGGGGAGGGGCGAGACCGAAGCTGGGGTGGAGCCTGCAGGCCTCTCTGGCCTCCTGCAGACTCACCTTGCCTCCACAGGACTTTCGGGGAAGGAGAGCGCCCTGCAGTGAACCTCGGCCCACGGGCGACCCCATGCTGCCCAGGGGTGGCCACTCCTAGTCCATCTTCCTGAGAGTCCCGCAGGCCAGGAGGCCAGCCTCGGTGCGGGGTGGGAGTTGAGCGTTCTCAGCTCGTGGTGGCTCCCTGTTTCCTCAAGTCTGTCCTGCCTCCCTACCACACAAAGTCAAAAACGTCAGCGCTCCCAAGGCCTTGTTTCATGTCCATCTCACAGGTATGATGACATTAAAGATCACCCCCCAAAACAGATGAGCTGTGAGAAAAGCCACAGATCCATTTGCTCCCACCACAACCAGGACCCTTCGCATCTCCTCACCCCCCAAAAGCCCTGCTGTGTGAGTCCATCCCCACCCCAGCCGCACAGCCACTCAGCTGACTTGGCCCAGTTGGGTCTTTTCTGGAGAATCACGTGGATGGGACCCAGCCGGTGTGGTCTCTGAGGCCACTCCTCCTTGGGCGGCTCAACCTCCTGCCTGGGGATGCACTGGGTCATCTGTCCAGTGATGTTGGATAGATCTGAGCAGATTTCTGTGGGATACAAGTTCTCGGTGCACCTGGGTGAGTGTTCACCTGGCTGCCACCTGCTGCTCATGAGGCCACCTGGGTTAGGGTCACAGCAGGTGCCCGAGGCTCTCAGCATCCCAGTCTGTGGTCCCTCTAATCACAGGCTAGACCTCAGCCTGCTCTGTGCTTCCCTCAGCACTCTTGATGGTGGACGTGCTTTCCTGTGCTTCTGGGCCATCTGTATATTGTCTTGGTGGAATGCCTATTCAAATCTTTTGTCTTTTTTTTTTTTTAATATTTATTTCTCTATTTGGCTGCACCAGGTCTTGAGTTGGGGCACAGAGAATCTTCCATCTTCATTGCAGCACGCAGGATCTCTAGTTGTCACATGTGAACTCTTAGTTGTGAGATGTGGACTCTAGTTCTTTGACCAGAGATTAAACCCGGGGCCCCTGCATTGGAAGCATGGAGTCCCAGCCACTGGACCACCCGGGAAGTCCCCTAGTCTGGATCCAAGTCTTTTGTCAGATATGTCCTTTCTTCTCATCCATGGCTTGTCTTTTCATTAACTTAACAGTGTCTATCATGGAAGAAGTTTTTAATTTTAATGAAATCCAGTTTATCTACTTTTTCTGTTATCGGTGGAATGTGGTCATGACTAAGATATCTTTGTCTAATCCAAGATCATGAAAATATTCTTCTTTTTTCTATATATTATGCTTTATAGTATTATGTTTTACATTTAAGTCTATTCTGTGTGTGTGTGTGTGTGTGTGTGTGTGTGTGTGTGTGGCTTAACTGGCTTGTTCTCATTATTAGAGTGGGAGACTCTTGAGAGTCCCTTGGACTGCAAGGAGATCGAACCAGTCCATCCTAAGAGAAATCAGCCCTGAATATTCATTGGAAGGACTGATGTTGAAGCTGAAACTCCAATACTCTGGCCACCTGATGCGAAGAACTGACTCACTTGAAAAGACCTTATGCTGGGAAAGATTGACGGCGGGAGGAGAAAGGGACAACACAGGATGAGATGGCTGGATGGCATCACCGACTCAGTGGACATGAGTTTGGGTCAACTCTGGGAGTTGGTGATGGACAGGGAGGCCTGACATGCTGCAGTCCATGGGGTCGCAAAGAGTCGGACATGACTGAGCGACTGAACTGAACTGAACTGAACTGAATGGCATCTCATGACTTCCTCTACAAGGACTGTCACAGTCAGCTCCAGACCAGGGGAGGGGGAGGAAGACAAGGGGGGAAGAGTGGGCTAGGGAGAGAGGAGGGGGAGGAAGGGGAGAGGCAGGGGGAGGAGGGGGGCGGAGGGAGGAGGAGGGGGCGGAGGGAGGAGGAGAGGGACTAGACGGGGACGTGGGAGGAAGGACAGGGAGAGGAGGAGAAGGAAAGGAGGGAGAGGGAGGGGAATTTTTTTTTAACAGAGCCCCAAAAAGCATCCTGGTATCTGCAAGATGGGTGAGGGCAGAGGAAGGTGACAGTAAAATTTCTGGCACTCTGGAAGCAGAGGAGCCAGTTGTGCTGTTCGCCTCTAGAAGCCACCAGAGGGAACAGTTTCTAGATCAGCCAGGACTTCAGCTCCTGGGGGAAGTGGGGACCCTGGGGGCCAAGGGAGCAGGAGGAGGGGCCAGTGGGTGGCCCCTCCCCTCAGGGGTCTTCAACGGGCTTCATCGCCCTCACTGCACCATCCACAAGGTCAGGGGCTCCTTCCAACCTTTTACCTGTGACAGCAAGTCACAGTCATGTGCCTGCAGGGGAGCGGCACGTCTACACCTGCCCTTTCCTCTGGGGAGACTTGGTCTCTGGTTGAGGGGGTTCCTCAAGACGGCGCCAAGCTGAGACCTGGGTCTCCACACCCACAGAAACATGCTCACTCAGTCAGGAGGTTTATTCATGCTAAGTCATCACATTGAGGTTCCAGGAGCTGCCCCTGGCTTGCACGGACATGGATGGTCTTGGGAGTTCACGGTTAGACATGTAATACCTGCAGGCCTTCATGGTCCCATGAACACACACAGGACTCAGGGTGTAGGGTGGTCTCCAGGGCACAGACTGGGCCCACATCACTGGAAGACACAGCACAATTAGGAAACACACAGGGAGACACAGCCCACGAGGCAGAAAGGAGTTGTCCTCCAGGTCCAGTTGGATAATGGCCAGACACTCTCCTCAGGACTGACAGTCTGCACCTCTGGGCGAAGCCACTGATGGTGTTGCCTGGCTTGCTTGGACACCCTGGGGACACCCTGGGGACACCTGTGGACTCACTATTGTGGCACCTGCTGCACCCACTCTTGTTCTGGGTGCTGATGGACCATGGCCAGCAGGTGAGGATGCTCAGAAAGGTCTGGTTCTTAACCTCTGGGCTCAGACACACCTTTATAATCAGACTGAAGTCCTGGATCCCGGCATCCGAGCTCAGACACCAGAGCATCCTCTCCAACCTCATCACTGTGCCCCCACCCCTCTCTGCCCCCAACTGTTCTCCACGGTGCCTTCAGGTTCTGTGTTCTGGGGGCTGACCTCTGCGGCCTGCCTCACTGAACCCTTTCCTTCTGGGTTTCCAGTTCAGCCAGTGAAAGTCTCCAGCGGAGATGCGAGGGAGGGAAGAGGAGGAAACTCCTGAGAGGGGGCCCTCCCCTTCGTCCAGCCGGGGGTCCAGCCCCACAGGAGTTAGGCCCCGGTGCTGCCGGGTCTTGCGGGCCCACCACCTACCACCATGCTGGCCCTTCGCCAGGTGTCCACGCTCTGTCCTGCTGCCACCCCGGTGGACCTGAGAACCCACTGCCCACAACCTGTGTCCTTTTCTGATGCCTCAGCCGCGCTCCTGCTGCAGGATGCAGCAACAGGAGGCCAACTGGCAGAAACGACTGGTGGCCTCTCCTGGAGGGGACGCCCACCCACACACATGGACACACCGCCTTCCAGGTCACTGCCCGCCTGCCCTCAGGCCAGTCGTGGGATTGAGCACCCCAGGTGGGCCGGACTGGGTTCCAGGACTCACCCAGGGCAGGCATTGGAGCAGGATGCCGCTCTGGGGGACGCAGCGGCTGGGGCTGAGCTCGTTCAGCCGGATGCAGCACTTGCTGCGGCACTCTCTGTGGTAGTTGCAGTAGTCCCAGTTGGGCTGGGGACAGAGGTCAGAGGTCAGAGCTGGCAGGCACCTCCCTCCAGCCCCGTGGCCCCGGCCTCACCTTTCGCCAGGGCAAGCACTGCAGGAAGATGGTCTTGGCTTTGCAGTACATGTCCACCCCGTAGTTGCTGATGGCACAGCATCTGCTCTGGCATTCCAAGTGGTCCTTGCAGATGTACCCATTTGGCTGCAGCAAAAGGAGAGCGGTCCTTTCTGCCAGGCCCCCGGCCCTCCTTTCAGGGGCTGCCCTCACCAGCCCCTTGCCCCCCACCTCTCACCCGCCCAGGCAGGACACACCTTCTTCCAGGACAGGCACTGTTGGAATACGGTCTGGGCGGTGCAGAACTTCTGAGGGCTCAGGCTGTTGGTGACACAGCAGTCGCTCTGGCACTCACTGTGCATCTCACAGGGCTCGCCAATGCTCTGCAAAGTTGGGACTCCTTTACGTGCGCCCCCACAGACCCAGCGTCTCTGCAAGGCTGTTGTCCAGCTCGGCAAACTTAGCTCGCCTGCCCAACACTGTTCCGGAAGGCTAAGGGAGCCAGGCCCAAAGGATGAAGGATGCTGGTGAGCAGAAGCAGCTCACCTGGCCCCCTCCACGTGTTCTCACATTTTATAGGTGAGATGTCATGGCTCAGAGAGGGTAAGCGACTTGCCCAGGTCACACAGCCAACTAGGAGTTGGAGCGGAAGCCCGGTCCTGCTGCCTGCCCACCTCCTGCGAGGAGGGGCCCTCGACTTGGTTCCCAGCGTCTCCTTTACAAATGCAAAATTACTGGAGGCTGCAAAGAGTTGTCGTTGCGGGTTTACTATTGGGTGTGAGTGATTTTACCTCTTCTTGGCTGAGATAAAAGCCATCTGGCTCATGAACTGGAGGCCACAAACCCAGCGGGTGAGCGGGAGGGACAGAGGCTGGAGCTGCATCTGGGGAACAGCGGCCACACAGCGCGGTACCCTCCCTCCTGCGTCCTGCACAGGGGCACCTCGGACCAGGCAGGACGTGGGGATCAGGGGCTGACACACGGCCCCTAGGACTGACAGACTGTGTTGTCTTTGCTGTCGCTCCACGACGCACACGAGCTGGTCACATCACCCCACCAGACCACCCACTGCCCCGCCTCCTCCCATACTGCCTCTTCTGCACACACCCCCCAGTCCCGTGCGGGGTCCCTCGACTTGGGACTTGGCATCGGGGGTCTGGGTGTCCACCAGGAGTCAGTCATCCTGGGGACCTGAGAGCCTTCAGAGGCAGATGCATTCATGAAGTGGGGGTGGGGCAGGAGAAAAAGCACAGAGCACCTGGCAGGGAGGGGGCTGGGAGCCCGGGTGCCCTGGGGTGGGTTTGGCGAGAGTTAGCCGTGGGCCCTACAGAGATAGGGACGTGGCGCTTACCTTATGGGACAGCTGCTGGTACTTCTTGATTGTCAGCACCGGGGCCACGGGGAGCAGGCAGAGCAGTGGCAGCAGCAGACGCCCAGCGCTGGCCATCGCTCAGCCTGTTGGTGCCAGAGGGCATGGATGCCTGCCCACGAGGCTCCCCCTCCCCTCCCTCCTGCCTTCCCAATCCTTCTCCATCAACATGGATTTTCAAAAATGAATAGACAGGGACTTCCCTGGCTGTCCAGTGGTTAAGAATTCAGCTTACAATGCAGGGGGTGTGGGTTCAATCCCTGGCCAGGAAATTATGATCCAAGTGTGTTCTGTGAGATCAGTCACTTCAGTCGTGTCTGACTCTTTGAGACTCCATGGACTGCAGCCCACCAGGCTCCTCTGTCCATGGGATTCTCCAGGCAAAAACACTGGAGTGGGTTACCATGCCCTCCTCCAGGGGATCTTCCCAACTCAGGGATCGAACCCATGTCCCCTGCATTGGCAGGCAGGCTCTCTACCACTGAGAAGCCAAGATCCCACAGCCAGTGCAGCAAATAAGCTCACGAGCTCTGGAGTCCACAAGACACAGCTGGAAAGAAGCCCTCGCGCCACAAAGAAGAAAAAGATTCCACGTGCCATAGTGAGAACTGATGCAGCCAAATATATAAACAAACAGTAGTAGGGGCAAAATGGCATGATGTTAAAAAAATAATGAATAGATGTGATTTCTTAGAACGGCTTTGTTTACAAAATCGTGTAGGATGTGCAGAGAATTCCCATCCTTCCCTCTCCACCTCCGCCTCCATTGTTAACTTCTTAGTTGGATGCATTTGCTGCAACTCATCAGCTGATACTGACACATTATTGTAAACTTAAGCCCACTGTCATGAGGGTTCAGTTTTGGTGTTGTACCTGCCATGGGTTTGGACAAATGTATGATGTGCACCTGTGATTGAGGATCATACAGGGTCATCTCACTGCCTGGAGAACCCTCTGCGCTCTGCCTGTTCACCTCCCACCCCTGGCACCGCCCACCCCCACCCCTTTACTGTCCCCACGGCTGTGCCTTTTCCAGAGCATCCCGGGGTTGAATCGTGCACTGTGTGGCCTTTCAGAAGACTTTTCCCCTTCCTGATACACACCTGAGGGCCCTCCATGCCTCTTTAGGGCTTGGTAGCAAATTTCTCTTTATTACTGAGTGGGAAATAGATTTTCAACAGCACTTTTCTCTGGCGAACGATCAAGCCCTTTTTTGCTTCAGAGGAGAATGTCTCTGAGGTTAATGTGTGCCCGGGGGGTCTACCCTCTGCAGCCTGCTTCCTCCCGCGCCTCCAAGTCCCTCTGCAGAGGCCCTCCAGACCCCCAGCCTGAGCTGCTCCGACCCACTGGGGCTATGTGTTGGTTTCCTGGCTGTTCACAGAGCCAGCAATTTGGTTTCCAATTTATTCCTAATTTTTTTTTCAATGGAGATGATATTCAAACAGCATAAAATTAGCCATTCGGAAGTGGACAATTCAGTGGCATTTCATGCATTTTTAATGTTGTGTAACCACCAGCTCCATCTAGAACAGGAGTCCTCAATCCCTGGGGCTGTCAGGAACCAGGCTGCACGGCAGGAGGAGACCGGCAGCTGAGCAGGGACGCTTCATCTGTAGCTGCAGGCGCTCCCCATCGCTCACAGGCTCACATTAGCAGCTGGAGCTCCGTCTCCTGTCAGCTCGGTGGCGGGATTGGATTCACACAGGAGCGCCAACCCTTCTGTGAACTGCGCATGCGGGGGATCTAGGCTGGGTGCTCCTTATGAGAATCATCCTGAAACCATTCCCACCCCCCAGCCCTGGAAAAACTGTCTTCCATGAAACTGGTCTCTGGTGCCAAAAAGGTTGGGGGCCACTGATTTAGAATATTCTGTTATCCACCACAGCCGGGGCCCATCAGCAGAGCCACTTGCACAGAGCCCGGCAGGGAGTGGAAGTGATCCGAACACCGTCCTTCCGAGTCCTGCCGAGTTCTGCCGAGTCCTTCAGAGTTCTGCCGAGGAGCACAGGGTAGAAGCCGAGAAGCCCTGGGAAGGTCGGGGGTGAGCGGGGAGGGGTTCCCCAGGCTGCCGAGTCCCCTGCTCCCCTCCCTGCCTCCATCCCATGTTCCAGAATCTCTCCTGGCTGTCTCTCAGCCCCACCTTGTCACTGGCCCCTGTGGTCTCCAGCTCAGGACCCTGTGATGTGACAGGAACAGTGTCCTCAGGGACCACAGGCCCCCCTCAGACTCTCCCAGGTCACTCTATTTGTTGTGGGGCCTTGGGGAGACCACTGGGTCTTTGGGGGGGTTTGGTTTCCCTCTCTGTGAAGTGAGGGGTGGGTTCCCTTTCAACTGATGGTTTTCAGATGATTCTGTGAAGTCACGATGTAGAAAGCACAGTGGAAATCTGCTTTTTATACTCCCTGAAATGTTAAGGTCCCAAGCCCAGGAACACGCCCAGCTCTCCCCTCCCCATCCTCGGCCTCCCCCATCTGGCTGCCTCGTCTGGGCCCCATGCTAGGAATTCAGAGCCTTTGGGAGAACAGAACTGGGGAGGAGCACAGACGGGGGTGGTGGTGCGTGAGGGGGAGTGGTTCCCTCCCACCCAAAGAAGCCGACCAGGAAAGTTTTGGGCAGTGGTGTTGGTGGAGAGTGGGACAGCACTGGAGATGTGGGGGCGGGCGGGCAGGGGTCTGGCTTGATTCCCGCTCCTCTCACCTCACACAGGAGCACCTGATCCAAATGAATGAGGCTGGTATTTACTCCGAAGCCATTACTGTCAGCACAGATTCTTTTGGCCCCATACAAATACTGAGAAATAACCCTATGCCTCCCGTAAGGACAGAACTGAGCAACACAAAACATCTCAGAAAGGCAAAAGGCATTTAGCCTCATTTATATGTTTTTGTCAATGGAAATAACAAATCAGGGCTTCCCTGGTAGCTCAGTGTTAAAGAATTCCCCTGCCAATACAGGAGACTCAAATTCGATCCCTGGTCCAGGAAGATCCTACATGCCTCAGACCAATTATTGAGACTACGTGCACCACAACTATTGAGGCTACATGCTGCAGCTACTGAAGCCCGAGGGCCTAGAGCCCATGCTCCACAATAAGAGAAGTCACTTCAATAATAAGACCACACACTTCCACAAAGAGTAGCCCCCTCACCGCAACTAGAGAAAAGGCCACACAGTAACAAAGACCCAGCCCAGCCAAAAATAAATAAACAAATAAGATCATGTAAAAAATAAGTCACAGGATGCATCACTGCTCTGAGTTTTGGTTTTCGGTAATTTTAGATTTAAATGTGTCGACAGTAAGCCATCGCTCATGAGCCACAAAGAGCATATGCATGTCATTCAGAAGTTTTGCTCATTGCTTCAGAAGAGACACAATAGCATGAACTCAGAGCCCTATTTGGAGCTATTTGTCACTGAAAAGTGATAAAGATGAAGAAAAAAGAGATCAGAGGAGGCTGGTCTTAGTGACAATACCATTTCTCTTTTAAATTCTGCCTTTAAAAAAGCAAGTCAAGGACTTCCCCAGTGGTCCAGGAGCTAAGAATTCACCTTGCAATGCAGTGGATGTGTGTGACCCCTGGCTGGGGAACCAAGATCCCACATGCCGAGGGGCAACTAAGCCCTTGCCAGGCAACTACGGAGCCCGTGCACCACAACTAAAGATTCTGTGCAGCACAACGAAGACCTAACAAATAAATGATTAAAAAAAAAAACAAAGCACCTTCAAAGTCTATTTCAACTTGTGACAACAGTGTTCTAAACTTTTCCCCTCAAAAAAAAAAGAAAAGCACCTATAAAGCTGGGACACACCTTTATCACATGAGCATCCTACATGTTGACAGGAGTTCAGGGGTGTCTGCAGGTCTCCTAGCACCTCACGGCGGCTCTGCAGGTGTGAGCAGTCTGTTCTGGGCTCTGGGGCCTCACTGGGAGCCCCTGCACCTCCCAGTCTTCCCACCCAGACTCCTGACCCTTTACTCCAAAGTGGCCCTTGGGAAGAAGACAAGTGTTTCCATGATGGAACCCAAGACACAGTTCCTGGTCCTGGGAGACCGAACCTACAGACAGACCCACAGCCTAGAGCAGCCAGTCGGGGGAGCCGGTCAAACCTCTCAGTGACCCCAGATATCCACTGTGGTTGTGCCCCTCTACCAACTCAGGACCAGCCTGAGAAGCCAAATGTGCCCCCTAACCCATCACAAGGGACGCCCATATCAGTCTGCTACGCTGCATAACAAACACCACAGACAAGGATGGTTTTGTATCCTGAAGGCTGACAGGCCCAGATCAAGGTGTGAGCAGGGCTGGTTCCCTCTGAGGCCTCTCTCCTTGGCATCTCCTCCCCATGTCCCCACATGGCCATCACTGTGTACCTGTGTTCTGATCTCCTCTTATAAGGACACCAGTCTTATGGGATGAGGGCCCACCCTTTAGACCTCATTCTACCTCAGTCACCTCTTTAAAGGTCCCGTCTCCACAGTCACATCCTGAGGTCCTGGGGTAGGATTTGGGAGGACACAGTTCAGGCCATAACAACACCCCACGTCTAGTCAGTCGCCCCACCTCCCCCACCAATATCCTCCCCTTGTATGCACTGGAGCCGATCTTTCCAGCCATCAGTGTCTGCACACCCCCTGTCCTCAGGTCTGGTGCAGGGATGGACCAGTCCGCATGCTGGGAAAGCTCTGGATCAGTTGCCCCTCGTCCCTGGCTGCAGGCTCCTCCCTGCAGCTGACCACCACCCTTCTGCCTTCCTGCTGATCTGTGAGGGCCATCAGCAGAAAGGGTGCAGGAACTTCGTTTCCTTCACGGAAGGTCAAAGGTCTCGGACGCTGCACACACATCACATGATTTGAGGAAAATGACACCAGACGGTTGAGTCCTATAAACATGTTCCAAGATAAATGGCAGCCCCACAGTCACTGTTTGAACTTTGTACACTCTGTTTCCCTCCCATGTCTAATGTATCAAATACAATCATTATTTCAAAACAGAATAAGAGCTAAATTTCAATCACAACTTGAGCATTTTAACATTTCAAACCTGCAGTATTCTTTTTTTATATTATGGAGAAGATT